AGCACCCCCAGAAATTGGGATTTGTAGGTATGGGTCAAAGTACCCTACTGTACACTACTATTACTTCTGTCTCTTTCTTTCTGTTCCTTTCTTCTTTTTGTCAATCTTCCCTTTTACTCACCCTCTCCTTTCTTTCTCTCTCTCTTTTACCTTTTATCCCTTCTTGCTTTCACTCTTCTCTTCCTTTTAGCCCTTTACCAAAAGGACACTTCAACACCTTAGGTCAAGGCATGGTAACTTAAGGAGCAGGAGAAAATGAAAGGAAAACATAGGGAAAGGAAAGAGACAAAAAGAAAACACTCATGAGGAAGAAACAGCAGAAAAATCATGGAAACATGAAAACCCAGACCAGAGCAACCTCCTGAAGGGATCACAAGGTAACTACTGCAGAGGATTCAACCTATGAAGAAATGTTAGACATGACAGAAAGAGAATTTAAAATATGGATGGTAAAAATAATGAAGTAAATTGCTGAGAAAGTGGAAAATAACCAAAAGGAAATCCAAAAACAGAATCAAATAAGAGATAAACAATATGAAGAATACAGAAAAGATACAGTGGGGCTTAAGGAATTGAAGTAGTCAATCAGGGAACTTAAAGATGCAGTAGAAACTATCAATAAAAGACTAGACCATGCAAAAGAAACAATCTCAGAGCTGAAGGTGACCTAGGGTCTGATATCCCTCTGAAAGGAGTGTGTTAGAATCTTTGGTGATATTTGGGAAATTTTTATTTATGATATCCTCTAGTAGGGCTAGATGAAGCTGTTGAGCTAAGTGAGGTAGTTAAAGAAAGAAAAAGAGCAGAAAGTTCACTGACAGAATTATGAGACTTCATGAAGCATTCAAACTTATGAGTGATATGTATCCCAGAAGGAGAGGAAGAATGTCTCAGAGACATGGAAGCTGAAAGATGTTAACAAATGGAAAAATATACCATGTTCATGGCTAGGAAGAATCAACATTGTTAAAATGTCTATACTACCTAAAGCAATATATAGATTTAATGTGATCCCTATTAAAGCACCTCTGTCACCTTCCTTTAAAGACCTGGAAAAATTAGTACTTCGTTTTATATGGAAACAGAAAAAACCTCAAATAGCCAAGACATTACTCAGAAATAAAAACAGATAGGAAGGAATCATGCTTCCAGACTTCAGACTATACTATAAATTGATAGTGATCAAAATAGCATGGTCCTGGCACAAAAATAGAGAGGTAGATATATGGAACAGAATTGAAGACCAAGAGGTGAACCCAGACACTTATCGTCATTTGATTTTTGATAAACCTATTAAAAATATAAATTGTGGGAAAGATTCCCTATTCAACAAATGGTGCTGGGTGAATTGGCTGGCAACCTGTAGATAACTGAAACTGGAACCACACCTTCCTCCTTTAACAAAAATTGACTCTCACTGGTTAAAGGACTTAGACTAAAGACATGAAACAATAAAAATTCTTAGAGAGAGTGCAGGGGAAACTCTTGAAACAATTGGCCTGGGAGAATACTTTATGAGGAGGACACCCCGGGCAATTAAAGCAACATGAAAAATACATTACTGGGATCTGATCAAATTAAAAAGCTTCTTCACTGCCAAGAACACACCAAGTAAAGCAAATAGACAGCCCTCAGGATGAGAGAGGATTTTTGGAAGATATATTTCCGACAAAGGCCTAATAACCAGAATCCATAGAGAATGCAAACTTATTACTAAAAACAAAACAAACAACAACAACCCCCCCCCCAAAAAAATCCAAGTGATCCCATTTCATTGTGGGCAAGAGACATGAATAGAAGCTTCTCTGAAGAAGATAGGTGCATGGTCTGTAGACACATGAAAAAATGCTCATCATCATTAATCATCAGAGAAATGCAAACCAAAACTATTCTGAGATACCATCTAACTCAAGTAAGAGTAGCCCACATCACAAAATCCCAAAACTACAGATGTTGGCGTGGATGTGGAGAAAAGGGAACACTTCTGCACTGTTGGTGGGAATGCAAGCTAGTACATCCCCTTTGGAAGGAAGTTTGGAGAACACTCAGGGATCTAAATGTAGACCTGCCATTTGATCCTGTAATTCCTCTTCTAGGTGTATATCCAAAGGACCAAAAATCATTTGGCAATAAAGATATTTTCACCAGAATGTTCACTGCAGCTTAATTCATAATTGCCAAGTCATGGAAGAATCCCAAGTGCCCATTGACCCATGAATGGATTAATAAATTGTGGTATATGTATACCATGGAATACTATGTAGCATTAAAAAAATGAAGACATTACCTCTTTTATGTTTACATGGATGGAGTTGGAAAATATTCTTCTTAGTAAAGTATCTCAGGAATGGAAAAAATATATCTGATGTACTCAGTACTACTGTGAAACCAATTTACTCACACTTGCATACGAAAAATGAAACACACTATAGTCTAGGATGAAGGAAGGAAGGGGAGAGAGAGGTGAAGAGAGGCGGGTGGGTCGATAGAGGGAGGGTTAGTAGGGGGACCACACCTATGGAGCATATTGCAAGTACAAGTTGGATCTATCAGGTGTAGAACACAAATGTCTTAATGCTGTAATTGGGTAAATGAGGTGAAGGCTATGTTGATTAGTAGGATGTAAGCACTCCAATTTGTAAAAATAATCAACACATTGAATCCCATAATGGAATAAATGCATTTGTGATCTATGTACAAATGACTTAATTAAAAAAAAAAAAGGCTGGGCATGGTGGCTCACGCCTGTAATTCTAGCATTCTGGGAGGCTCAGGTGGGTGGATTGCTTGAGTTTGGGAGTTTGAGACCAGCCTGAACAAGAGTGAGAGCCCATCTCTAAAAAAATAGCCAGGCATTGTGGCGGGCACCTGTAGTCCCAGGTAATTGGGAGGCTGAAAAACAAAAGCAGAACAGTTAAAATAATGATGTGTGCGTATGTCTGCACCTTTCAAGCAGCCCTGAAGTGGCCATGATTGGCTCAGGTCACAGCGTGCTTCCTTTGGCAGCAAAACACTGATAAGAAATGGCAGGTATGTGAGTACTCCATTGGAAATGGACCCCAGGCCCTACCAGGTCTTCTGCAGTGAATTTAAATACATAAGAAACTAGATCTGACTCACAGAAGCAAGTATTTTCTATGACGCCACATTACTTTCTTTTTCCAAGTTGCAAAGCCCAAAAGGACATAAAAGTCCTTGATTCAGAAAGCTTGGTTTTCTCTTTTTATTCTGTGGCTTGAAGGAGAGTGGGTCGCTCATTTTTTTCTCCTAGTGATTACTGTCTTTATTATTTCTTTTCACTGTTTTTATTTTGTACTTAAAAAAATAAAGCAAAAGCTAACAGGAGGCAGGCTGTTTTTCTATGTTTCTACAACAATGTAAAATTCATTACTTAAACATTGGTTCCCTTTGCTCTATTGCCAAAGTAGTAAATTCTAGTAGTAAATTTTTTTCAAGGACTTCCTTGGCCAATTCCATGTTATCTTAACCTGCATGTGCTGAAATTATGTGGGGTTTTATTCTGAAAAACAAAGTACTGTTTTCTCTTGACTCAAGAGCATCTAAGGTATCAAGTCCATGGTTGATTGCATGAACAATTGATTTGTGAACAACACATTAGTAGCTACTACCACAGTGGCTTCATTTCACTCAGTATGTTGATAAATTCAGAGTTTTAAAAATCCTTCTCCCCTCTATGTATTCAGTACAAAGACATATCAAACAAGATGCCAAATGCTGAAGAAGGCCCAGCCGTCCTTATCAGATACTATTGCTATTTGACATGTTAACACAAAACTCCAAAAGGACTTTTCTTCTAACCTGAAGTAGCACCCAAGACCCTTTCATAGCATCTTCTCTTTGGAGAGATATCTAACTCCAGGTTGTCACTTTTCTTAGTGATATCAGTATAAACCCCCTTCTTAATTCTTTAACTTTTGGTTTTAAATCTATTCTCAACCTATTCAAAAATCAGTTTGCCACTTCTTTCAAGAACTAGCTCTAAAATTCATTTCTCCCAAGACTTCCATGATAAATTTTTCCCTACAACTAAGTCTTTTCAGATCATACATATATTCCATTGGTACTATAACTGGTACTTTCTTTTTATTTTTACTCTTTTGTATCTGATTTGTTTCACTTAGCATAATGTTTTCAAAGTTAATTTATGTTGTGGTATTATTCTTTTTATGGCAGAGTAAGATTCCATTATATGGATATACAACATTTTATTTATCCATTCATCAGATGTTAGACATTTGGGCTATTTTCATGTTTTTCCTATTGGAAGTAATGCTGCTAAGAACATTTATGTACAAGTTTTTGTTTAAACACCTGTTTTCAATTCTTTGGGGCATGTGTTAGAGAATAGAATTGCTGGGTCTATGTTTAAGACTGCCAAACTGTTTTCCATAGTGCTATACCATTTTCCATTCCCACTAACAATGTATGAGAATTTCTCATAAGATCCCAGTACTGTTATTATCCATCTTTTTAAATTATAGACATTGTATGGTGTTGTTTTCTAATTATTATAATTTTGTTAGTGCTTCTAGAATATATAATTCCCTTGAAGACAGAGAAATTTCCAGAAAGTTGAAAAGGAATTAATAAATGGTCTTCTTACATTCTTTGCCCTGCCCATTTTACTGATAAAAAAACTGAGGCCTAGAGAAGGTTAATCTGTTCAAATCAGTCAAGTTAGTAGGAAAACTAGTTGTACAGCTCAGGTAGTGTGCTATCTGCAATATTAAGTCATCTTCTTCTATTTCACTTGCATCACTTCAGAATGCTTTATAACAGTGGTTCTCAAACTTCCTAATGCCACAGCCCTTTAATACAGTTCCTGTGGGTTGTGACCCACAGGTTGTGAACCACTGCTTTATAAAATGACATATGCACATATATCTCTTAGTAAATGTCAAGACAATAAGCATAGTAGCTTACATAATTGAGAAATTGACTCAAAGAAAGAATCAGAAAGCAAAAGGTCATTTTCTTACTTCTTTGCATGATGCCACCCTCCAGACCAGTTAATTGCTACTTTGCACATTCCGTCGATCAGGCATTGGGCAGCTGTGATTGTAGCCCCTCCTACAGCTGCAGCATAGTCAAATATTCCTTCAGTGGCTGGGCAGTCATAACCTTAAGGCAAAAATTGGAAAAGCTTGTTAAATGATTAACTGGAAAAAGAGGAGCAATAGGTAGAGATGTGACAATAGTATGCCCTACTAAAAAGTCACTGTGCTGACATCAGCTCCAACCAAAACATTAACACCTCTAATTTGGAAAAATAATTTTTTAAAAGGTTAAAGTTAGAAGGGCTATACCTTCACAATGAACTAGTCCTATCCTCCCAATGGAGAAACCAAACCAGAGAGGTGATATGTCTCATCAGTGGTCACACAGGGCCAGGCCTGGGACTCAGGTCCCTTGATCTCTACTCTAATGTCCTTCTACTAAATCATGCTCTTTCTCTAGTCCAGTTGTTCTCAGCCTTTCTAATGCCACAGCCCTTTAATACAGTTCCTGTCGGTCGTGATCCACAGGTTGAGAACCACTGCTCTAGACTATCCTATTGGTCACTTTCAGATTAAAATGCCATTGTTTAATCAAGGATAAGATTAAAAACTTAGCCAGAATATAAATCTGTACTCAAATCACAAGGTCACAGGACAGCTAAATCTGCATATATACAGCCACACCAGATTTGAGTCCTGCCATTAGGGCCTAAGCAATGGAAAGATATTTCTTCTACCTGACCCATCATTCAGTTTTACTCAACTCATATGGTTTGCTTGTTTAGTGAGTTATATGTGGCTAAGCCAAGCAATTAAGATTGACAGTTAATATTATTTCTTAAATAAAAAGTATTAAAAATCATTATGTAAATTATAAAAAAGTTAGTACAATAATCTACAGATGGAGGCTGTCCATCTCCCATCACTGCCTGGTAATTACTTTACCTAGCCCATATTCTATGGAGTCTGGATGATCATCATCGCCTTCTTGGCTGACTTTCTGGAGATGCTGCAGATAGGCATCAGTGTGAAAGGTGGCCATCTCCTCCATGGAAGCCACTAGGGGCTTTACTATCCTAATAATAACAAAGGGATTAGAGAGAGGTGAGTGAGTCAGACTCAGCACATGCCAGAAACTAGAAACAGGATCCAAGAGTCTGAGCAGAAAATACAACTCCCAACTTCAAATTCCAGTAGGCTGAAGTCATAAATACATTCTGTTCCTCCACTGCACTGGATAGTCTTTACTTCCTCACATCTATGGTAATTACATTAATAAGGGGCAGGAGGATAGATTATCCCTTGAGTTTATAGGTAGGTAAAAATGAGTAAATGTATTTAAGTTAAACAAATAGTCAAATATCACAAAGTACACCACTCTGTGAGTTACACTTTCCTAACAAGTGAGTAGGCAGGGATAGTTTCATTTGAATCAGTTGCTGGTTGGGTTATATAATCCTTTCAGCTATATCTTTTTTTTTTAACAACCAACTGTGTTATCATGCATTTTGAATCTGGAGTCAGATTGGTGTTGGAGAATTGGGTTGCTATCCTTAAACCTTGTACTTTCTAGCTCTATTTCTGTAGCTTAGTTTTCTCATCTGGGACTTAGATGAAGATTAGAGGATAACATACAAAAATGCTTTGAAGATAACTATTATCATTATTAATATTAAAGTATAAACAAACAGACAGCCCAAAATATACAAAGTCTGTATACTTGGTCCCTGCCATTTGCCTCTATAGGAAGAAGTGGCAAAATGGCTGGAATTGGGCTTCACTCAACTTACTTCCACACAAGGAGTGAATGAGGGAATAAAGGGAGTTAACCTAACAACAGGTCTCACCACTTCTAACTTCCAGCTGTCTATTCCCCATTTCCTCTTCTCAACTTCACAGCTGCCATTTTACACCTGTCTTTGTTACTTAAAGGGTGGTCAGTGGTACAGCAGAAGCAGCATCCCCTGGTAGTAGCATCAGCATCTCCTGGGAGCTTATTAGAAATGCAGAACCTCACCCTCACCTCAGACCTACTGAATCAGAATTTGTATCTTAACAAGACATTTTAAATAAAACAATGTGTCTCAAGGTGATTCAAATGCATATTCAAATTGAAAGAACACTGACTTAGGCAGAAGCAAGGGATTTTTTGTTTTTGTTATTGTTTTGTTGTTATTGTTTTTGAGACAGGATCTTGCTCTCTCGCCTAGGGTAGAGTGTAGTGACATAATCATAGCTCACTGCAATCTCAAACTCCTGGGCTCAAGGGATTCCCTTGCTCAGTCTCCTGAGTAGCTGAGACTCCACCCGACTATCTATTTTTTGTAGAGATGAGGGTCTTGCTGCTACTCAGGCTGGTCTCAAACTCCTGGCCTTAAGAAATCCTCTTGCCTTGGCCTCCCAAAGTGCTAGGATTACCAGTATGAGCCACTGTGTTCAGCCAAGCAGTGGCTTTTTGTTTGCTGAATGAGAACATAGCCATGAATTTATCATGAATTAATATGACTAACTATACAAGCTACTACTACCATTAAGGTAGCCAGAAGACATACTATGATCCAGTTTCAAAAATTAAATATATAGCCAAGCCAGCCTCAAAAATTAAATATATAGCCAAGATCCAAGGATTCTTGCTGCTTCTTTGAGAAAACACATCTACATCATTAGAGGTGAAAAATGTGCCCATTAAAACAAAAATTTTACAATTTACTGGCCATATTTTGCAGCCCTACAAGCTCCCTCTTCTAGCACCCTTTCATTTATTTTGTTAAATGTTAAAGTTAAAAAACACTGAAAATTACCCTTCTTAACAGCAAAGAAATTAGAGAGTTTTTCTTTATTTTGATATTTTGTTTATCATAATTTTTTAAAAATTGTAAATAACTTTAGTGGAAGGCATGTGCTATTATATTTACCACATGGGTTAAAAATGGTTGAAAACCTTTCCTAAAAAAGGTTTTCAAGAAATGATTTTGTTAACAGTCAGGATAAAATCCAAATGCCTATTATACTATTCTGGAAGGATACCAGTCTAGCTGTCATAGAAACTTACCTATATGGCCAGAAAGTGTTATAAAGTAATCCTGCATATTGCAGGGTTATAATATTTGCTCTTTCAGTGACATCAAATACAGAAATGATAATAAGTATCAAGCTCGTGTTTTTAAAAGAAGCAGTTAGCTCTCTCTTGATTTTTGGTTTGGTCTCAGCAGTTTGCTTTGGTCTAGACTTATCTCCAGGGTAATCCATTAAAGTTTGTAGCAGTGGTGGGTTGTCTAAAAGTCTTAAGATAAGCTGACCACTGTATCTAGGTGGTTAGCCCACTGGCTAGAATACTAAGGGCAGCGAGTTTGAGCCCCACCTGGGCCTGATAAACAAAACAAATAATACACAAAAAAGTTTTAGGATGAACCCACACCCTCAGATCTGGCTTAGAACAAAACAAAAATATCTCACAACTGTACGCAGTTTTCTATTAGTTAGGTTTTAGTACTTAGGTAAGCTTCAGAATCTCCACAATGTACCTATCCCAGGGATACCTCTCCTATTTCTAATGGACCTTAATTGCTTCCTGCACATTTTTTTAAAAAAGTGTTCTTAATTCTTCAATAGCTTTCATGGGGGAACAGGCAAATTACAAACACTGTGAATAATCTTACACACACAAAAAAAAACAATTTATTTTTATTTATTTTTTTATTTGCAGTTTTTGGCCAGGGCCGGGTTTGAACCCACCACCTCCGGCATATGGGGTCGGCACCCCACTCCTTTGAGCTACAGGTGCAGCCCGCTATTTTTTTTTTATTTTAAAAAAGGAACACTTTCCCCCCAATTAGCCCCAAGGTGAAGCGAGATAATAAGGCTATGAACACTTAGCTTCAGGGCTACGAAAGGCAACTTACCTCATTTGTTTGTGTAGCGCATATGCTTCAATCAAAGAATGTACCATACTGGCCTAAAAACATCAGCATAAAAAAGCAAAAAATAGTGTCTTAAAAGTTTAACTTAGCAAAATTCAGTCCACTTCATCCTGAACAAAGGAACTAACTCACTTTGTATCCTCTCCTTTCTGTTACTAAACAGTTACGACAGACTTTAAACAATACAGACACAAAGTATCAAAATTACTAGGGCGAAAGTTCCGGGGCCTTAGACAGGAACACTTTTCCCCCTCACCGTTTATTTTCTCAAGACTTCAGCGATCGATACCCTAGTAGTAGAAACTTCATTCCCGCCCCTCCCCGCCCCCGGCCCCAGCCCCTACCTGTCCATTGGGCGCCCCGCGGAGACTTACTGTACTCTCAGAAACGGTAAGGAACACGTCCTGCTTAAATAGCTTTAGGTATCTAATACGGCTGTCCACGTATCTGAAGACTTCTCCCAGCCCAGGATCCTCTTCGCTTCCTAATTAATGCTCTTCCATCTACCATCCCCACCCTACCCCCAACCCCCAAACCCACGGTCTTTCATCCCTATTTCTCTTACCCGTTTGGGGACCTTGGCCAGGGAGTCACACATGCGGACATACTCCGGACTGTAGATATAAACCGGGGGCAGTGACTGCCCACGGTCCGCCGGTTCCTCCGGCTCCTCCATCTTTCACTTCCAACCGTTCCGGAGCCACCGTCCAAATCGGGCTTTTTTCGGACTCAGCCCGGGTTTCAGTTCCTGCTCCTCTGATCCGCCGCAGCGGTGCTCCCTGGTCAACATTCCCTCCTATTCGTGAGATCGCTGGGGACACTGTCCTCGCTCCCCATCCAATTGAAGGAATGGATCCGCCTTCCTAGGTCACAACCCCTTCAGAACCCCTTCATTTAGTGACAATTAACAAAAAGGGTTCGGCAGGTAATAAAAGTCTAAATAACAGCCAGTTCGGATCGATTTTTCAAGACAAATAAGTACGGTAGAAACTAACCATCCTTGTTGCCCTACGGGGCCATTTGAGATGAAGTCATACGAACTTCAGAGCATGCTGGGAGATGTAGTATACAGAGGTTTGAGCAGCGGAAGAGACGGGGATAACTAAAATAGTTGCGATTTTTAGTTTTAGCGCTAAAAAAAAAGGCAGCCTCAACTCTTTATGAATTGTTTCAATCTGTAAACACGTTCATTTAAATATTTAAACACAGATACAATGATATGGCCACCTAGAGCCCACTACCTCCCAGCTACATCAGCTGCCTATCCTAAGGATGTTTTTTGGTTTGTTTGTTTGTTTGTTTGTTTGGTGGGGTGGTGGTGGACTGGCATAAATGATTCGAAAAGTCTACACAGTAAATTCTGTGGTGCAACTATAGTTCTCTTCTTGTCATCACTATCCATGTCCACGTGAGAGTTAACAATCTCAATAATTTACTCTGGCAAATCTGATAGCATTTTCTTAACAGACTGGCTGCTAATGTAGAAATTGCTAGATTCCAATCAGTGATGTCAAATGTACTCCATGAACATTCATGTGGTAGGAAGGATACTTTAAGTGGTGTTTGGAAACTGTTGCTCTTCTTTCTTTCTTCCTGTTGTTTTTGTAGCTAAATAGAGATTAGGGAAATATTTTAGGTTTAATGTGAGGGACCACATTAAAGGCTATGCTAAGAAGTTTTAGAATTACTATCAACATTTCCAGGTTCCTGAAGGCCCCTATGATGATCTGATATGAGCTGCCCTATACTCAGGCCCTCGAATTTCACACCAGCCTGAACTGACCTTCTAACACTTCTGAGACAATCCATTATCCTCACTGTCTTTAAAGATTTAACTCACTTTTTCCACTTTAAACATTTATTGAGCATTGTGACATGTACTTTGGGTATATGGTATATTATGTTATTTCATCCTTGCAACACTCCTATGAAGGCATTTGTAATATGCTCATTTTTACAGATGAAGTTTAGAGACAGAAAATACCTATTTAGAGTCACATACATAACAGGAAAGCAGGAATTCAAAATCAAGTAAGCCTGACATTGAAGCCTTGGAACAGTTCCCTTATTGTATAAACTAGATTAATCAATGATGACTTTGTATTATTTCTTACTTTGTTCACTCTCTATTTTGAATCCTCTCAGTACTTTAATATTCTGGATTTTTTTTTTTTTTTAGTTTTGTGTCCTCTAACTAAAACAAGGGTCCTCAAACTTTTTAAACAGAGGGCCAGTTCACTGTGCCTCAGACCGTTGGAGGGCCGTACTGCAGGACAAGTCAGCTGCTAAGCAGGACAGGCAGTGGCGGCCAAAATACCCGGCAGGCCGGATAAATGTCCTAGGCGGGCTGCATGTGGCCCATGGGCCGTAGTTTGAGGATGCCTGAACTAAAATATAAATAAGCTCATTCTTCTTTCATATCTTCCCATAGCAACTAGTTAAAAGCTATGCAATCATTCAGTCATTCATCAAACCTTTATCTGCCATCAACTAAGTAGACAGTGCAGCTAAAGATTCAGTGATGAATTATAATCAAACCTTTTCTCACAAGGAATATGAATTCTTCAAGAGAAATAGGCAATGCAAGGTCAAATAATGAACATGAGATGCTTAGCCTACTTAATAGTAGGCATTGAGTACTTACTAATTGTTATTTAATACATGAGGACTAGGATTCTTACTTGTTGGCATTTGAAATAGACAGGATTTTGCTTGCTAAAGATGGGAGCCAGGCAAGAGCATGCTGACTAGAATGAAGAAGAGAAGCAAAACCACAAAAGAGGAAATTTCTAGTCTAGTTTAGCTGAAGGGGTCAGATAAAGACGGGCTTTGAATACCAGGTTGAAGAGAATAGATTTAATTCTGTGAGGAATGGGGAGACATTTAGATAGAAATATTAAGAAAAAAAATTTCTATAGCAACAAGTGTAGGATAGATTAGTTATTGAAAGACTAGAGGGCTCGGCACCTGTGGCTCAAGTGGCTAAGGCGCCAGCCACATAAACCTAAGGTGGCAGGTTCGAAGCCAGCCCAGGCCAGCCAAACAGCAATGATGACTGCAACCAAAAAAATAGCCGGGCTTTGTGGTAGGTGCCTGTGGTCCCAGCTACTTGGGAGGCTGAAGCAGAAGACTCGCTTGAGCCCAGGAGTTGGAGGTTGCTGTGAGCTGTGATGCCACAGCACTCTACCCAGGGGGATAGCTTGAGGCTCTGTCAAAAAAAAAAAAAATGAAAGAAAGAAAGAAAGAAAGAAAGAAAGAAAGAAAGAAAGAAAGACTAGAGGTGGTTAGAGTGCTGCAATAGTTCAGATAAGAAGTGATGATGATTTTAAACTAGGGTGAGAGCAATGGGAACAAAGAGGGAAACAATGCACAGGGCTGGTTCAACAGGTGTTTCTTGCTACTTGGATATTGGTAAGAGGGAGGAAGAGAGTTGTTGAAAACTCTTAAAAGTCTTGATGAAGAGAAGGCTAGTAGTACCAATGTAAGAAAGAGGGAAATCATAAAGTAGGGAAGAATGAACATAGGAGTCTGATTTAAAGTGTTCTAAAAAGTGTTCTTTCAGAAATCAATAGGTTAAAAAAATGCAGTGAGACACACAGACACACACACACAGACACACAGACACACACACACTTTTCCATATAAAGAGGAGATAGCTGAAGTCCTAAGGGTGGCTGAGATAGCCAAAGCAGCATGGTTTTCTCCGCTGGAATGTCTACTAGCCATATATAACTTGAGATTTTAAAAACAAAACTCCTGTGCCAGGGTCTCATTCCAGGGGCAGGGTTCTTTAAGACCTGTGGAGCTGGCAGCAATCGACTGAAGAAAAATAAAGTTAGAAGAAGTGAGAGATAAAAAGACAGGACATGTATCATAGAGTTTTCAAAAGTGAAAACGCAGAGGACCACCAATAGTTTGTGGGATTCCAGCGAATGGCCCTGAGTGTTTGTTCCACTCAACTTTTATTTAAGGCTACTATGTCATTTAGCCCAGAGGGTAAGCTGAGGAAGGGAACAAAAATGTCAGCAGTGTCTCTGAGTAAGCATGTTAGTTTTTATTCTGTCTATAATCATTAACTTTAAGGATCTGAGCAGCCTTGAGATATCTAAAACCTGAGCCTTGTCTGGGGACAGCCTCCTGTCTGTGGTCAAACACACAGATTCCTTAGAGGCGGTTAATCCCTACTAGTTCACCACGGTGCAGATATGATGGTATAAGGCTCCTCTGAAGAATCGGTGGAACAGAAGAACTTTCCTCTGATCTCCACCCCAGAGGCATCTTCCTCTGTTGATTAGGATACAAGCCCCCCCACCTCCCCCCCGCCCATATTTCAGGGCTCAAGCTATTTCCTTGATCTCTGCCCTGGCCATAGTAAAAATCCCCATAATGGGTATCTTCTTTGACTGTTTACTGAGCAGGGGATGGCCTGGTTGATATACTCCCCAGGCTTTTGCACACAGCTTCCTTATACAGTCATTATTTCTTCAGAGTGTTTATAGACCCAGCAGGGGTATTTGCAAGATGTATCCCTTACAGCCTAGGCTTCTAGAAAAAGCAGGAACTCTCAGACGAGTAATTTAGCTGCTGGTTTAAAAGTAAACTAGCTAAACTGTTTTTATTCTGCCTTGCTAAGCTTATTTCTCTGTTTTTTCCCTTTTTCTGGGGGGTGAATTCCCTTGCCAAGAATGAGGTCTTCAGTCCCCATTCTGCCTGTACTCTTGATTTCCCCATCCAAGTCCTTTCCACCCCTTTCCCTCATACCTCAGTAAAGATACCAAAATCTATCTAGTTGCCTAAGCCAGAAACCTATGAGTTATTTGTATTTCCTCTTTTTCCTTCACCTGAAAAATCAATTAATCAGCAATTTTCATCATTTCCACCTCCAAGACATGTCTTAAACACATTCACTTCTCTCCCTCTGCACTGCTACCACCCTAGTCTGGCTGTATTATCTCCTACCTGGACTTTTTACAATATCTTCCTGGTCTGTACTTCTACTCTTGCTGCCCTACAACATATTCTCTTTACAGCCACCAGAGTGAGCTTCTAAAAGTAGTAAATCAAATTATGTCATTATAACCTGCCCACACCATAGTGAGAATCCCTGATCTAGGAAGAAAAGAGAAATTTTTGGAAATGCTTGTTTGGAGGAGAAAAAGATGTCAGAAAGGAGACAAAAAAGGAATTTGTGGGTTAGATTGAATCAGTACAATTTTACAAAAGTCAGGGAAGAAAAGAATTTTATGAAAGAAAATATAATAAAAATGCTAGGTATTGCAAAAGAGTAAAAGACACCTTTTGGCATTAGAAGCTTATTGGTGCCCTATGAAAAAATAGGATGTAGGGGAGGAAGCCAGATTTCAAGGGGTTAAAAAGTGAATCCAACACAATTAAGTGTAGCTTTCTCTTTAAAGAAATATGATTGTGAAAGGAAGGAGTTTATCAGCTTGAAGGAACTTCAGAGCCCAGTTTTTTTTTTTTCAAGGATAAGAGAGAAGTATAAATGTTTACAGACAGAAGGGAAGGAGTCTGGGGGGCTACAGGAGTTGACTGAAAGGTGAGATCCTGAGGGAAGGCTATATAAGGAGGATTGGGACTTGTCCTGGGCCTTCAAGGATAGGCAGAGGTCAGGATACAGACTGGTCAACTGATACCTTAAATTCTGAACCCTAATCAGATGACATGAAAATGGAATGTTTTATCTAGCAACAGATAGTGAACACTTCTAAACTGGAAACAGTATCTTAGCATGACACACAATGTATAAAAAGGATTCAACCATGCAAAAAGACAAATTGTTGCACATTTGTTGCAAATTTGTTACACTGGGAATTGGCAGTATATTCCTGCAGCAAATCTCAAATAGAGGCTGGGTGCTTCCTCTATGATTAAGCCAGAGCTGAAATCATGCCACAGTTCCCTAACCTCAATTTCCCACATGCTTAATATCCAGATGTTTCTTAAATTGGGAAGACAACACTTTCCAAAGCTTTGGATTTGCACTAGGTAGACTTGAGGTCAGTAGGTTGAATCTTGGCTTTAAAACTTGCTAGGGTGGTGACCTGGGCAAATTACTTGACTCATTTTCCTCAACCATTATTGATAAAGATAACATTTGAACCAGCAAGGTCATCTTGGGGTGTGCCACTTCTTTTGGTACTTTCCCCTGCTTTTCCCTCAAAGGGAAAGTGAATACATGACAAAGGCACTACCCCTTTGATTACCTTCTTTGCTCAATTCATGGTCTGTCCACTGATGCTTCATCTGTATTCAACAGACTGACCCTTGTTTTCACACTCTCCCCCAATAAATTTTCCTCAGAAAGTATAGTTATTAAGAATGTGGACTCTAGAGTCAGACTGCATGGATTTGGCTTCTGGCTCTACCACTCATTAGCTGATTGACTTTGGGCAATTGGCTTAAACTCTCAGTGCCTCAGTTTCCTTACCTGGAAGATGGAGATGCCAATACTATCTACCTCACATGGCAATTGTGAAGATAAGATGGCCCTATATAACAATGTCTGGCATGTGGTAAGCACTGAAATATTTTGGTCATTTGTTTTAAGAACCATTATGCCAAATATCCCTCAATTTGGGGGGACGAAGTCTCTTCCACTGCTATCCTTACTCCCATACTGCTATTAGGCATAACCTTAAAAAAAAAAAATCAGACTTCTGCTAAATATAGTCTGACCATATCATCCACATTGGGACACTTTTGAGAGTGACAGAAAGAGCTATTGATAATTATGCCAAGAAAACAAAACAGGCATAAACAGGGGCTGTCCTGGACAATCCAAGACGTGGGGCCAAATTAAATAGAAAATAAGGACTCAATGTAGAAAGTACTATATTTATCTCCATTGAATTAGTACAGATACTAAGTATGGTAAAACATATGTAAGTTGACCATCTGAGGGACTGTAACAAACTGGTCAACATACAGAGATGGTCAACAATAGGAACTAAGCCTATTGTACTGATAGGTACGTGTGGTACATGTCTGCTCTATGAAAGTTAGGTCAACTTAAGGAGGTGGTCAATGTGGGGACATGGTCAATTATGGACATTCTACTGTATTTGGTAAGTGCAAGAAGGGAAGGTAGAGGTTTTGTGAGCTGTAGCTAAGAATGGCAACTTTTGCCCTATCAATTGCATAGGATTCCCAGAATGTAGTAAAATTTAATTAACCATGATGTGACCATCATCCTTGCTGATAAATTCTCTCTCATTATAGAAGAGGCTAATGAATAGTATAAACAAGATTCTGCCAAATATTTATATTACCTAGGAGAGCGAATTGTTCCTAAGTACCCTCCAGTAGGGGAGAAGTACCATATGTATACAACTGAAATGCTGAGTAGAAATCTGTTTTATTCACTCATCAGAACAGGTTCTTTATAGATGGCAATATACCCATTTGAATTTAGTGAGCCTAGTTTGAATGAGTACATATTTGAATGATAAAACTTAATTTCTTTACATATATTATCTAAAAGACCATATGATGTATATGTAACATACAGTATGTATATTAATATTATTCTACTTTTATCCAGTTAATGAGCTTTGACTGTATAACTAAATAGAACATGTAGAATAAAGCCATGAAATAAATTCCAATCACAAAAATGCAAATGAAGTTTTGCACATTGGCACCAGACATGATCTAATTTGAAATTCTTATTTTTTCTATTTTCAAAACCTAAGTGCTTTTCTTTTTTTAAAAAAGCCTAACATATTTTTTAGTATCAGTATCACACACTTAAAATGAACAAAATACAAGTAAAGTTTTCTAAAAAGTTGCTTTAAAAGTTAAATACACCACTGTATGGGAATCATAGTGATAAACAATTTGGGAAACCCAAAGAAATGCAAATGAGTGAGGAAAGGAGTGGTGGCTTTCACCTGTGGTTCTCTCAATGTACTCCCTGTGACTGGCATATACTTACAGCTGATGAAAAGACAGTTTCAGAACAGGTTGTAAATTTTCATTTACAGAAAAAACTTATATAGTGACCAGAAAATCATGTGTGTTTCCATTTGCTCCAAGAGATGTTCTTTAAAAGACTGTTCACCTTCTCTTTGTTCCTACCACCTGTATTTTATCACCTTCCTGTGCTTATTTAGTGTACTCATAAATTTGTCAGTAGTTCTATAAGAATTATTTAGAAAGTCTCTCATCCCAATCCTGTCTTAGATTAAAAACCTTAAATCTGAGTCAAAGGAGGGTATTGAAGTAGGAAGTTATCTGAATGACTCAATCCCCTCTGGGAAATTAGCAGGGTCTCTACACACAATTTAGGAGAAGGAAAGTTAGGGGAAACATTTATTAAGCAAGGCTACCTATTCATGGGATCAGGGAACAGGACTGAAGGCATTTTTCCATTATCTTTTGTGTGTCAATCTGAGGCTACAGTCACAACTCCCCCCTTACATGCAACATTCATATTTAAATACTTAGTCCATCAAATTTGCATACAGAAAGGTATGAAAACTACTTATATTTAGAGAAATTCCCATGTATGCTTAAACATACACACATACAAATATGCGTAGTTATGAGAAACAGATAAAATGCCCACAGATCCCAAGATATATACCCTTGAATTAGGAGGTCGAAACATAATATGAAAGAGTTTATGAACAGATGGGCCAGGGCAGGGGGGTGGTGGAGAGGATGTGGTAGAAAATGAATAGGTGAGTGAGATAGAGACCAAGATCACAAGAAAAGAATACTTGGTAGAGCTGCTATGCACTGAACTACTGAATTTCTCCTTTACCAAAGATATAGTTCAATTATTCTCAGTGTTGTGGGTTGGCCCACTTTTCAAAGACCATCCTTGGGGAACTAACCCACTTTTGATTTCTTCTCTGTTCCCTATGAGTAAGACACAACCAGGAATCTTTTCTTCACTCTATTCCTCTCTGGCATTGGGCTCCTAGCTCCATTTCTCTGGGCTATTCTTTGTTTTCTGTTGCAAATGCATCTAAGTACCAACAATCTTCACAAAATGTTATTTGAAGTGTTAATACAAATATATGTACGTTGTGTTTGTATTTTTTAATTTTTTACCCAAGTGAAAGTAGGCATTATATGTGCAGATACAGAGAGTAGGTATTACATGTGCAGATACAGAGAGGGCAATGGTGGAGACAATTCTCCACAGAAACTATTTCACCACTCAGTGTGAGGCAATCTGAGTAAAGATGGAAACTAAGATCTGGTTCTCTTTTTTTCCCAGGAAAAGGCACTTAGAATGGATATTCCAATTTACAGCAGCATAAAATCCAATAATTTAGGATTTACTTTCTTGAAACAATTTCCCAAAGTGATGTCCCATCACTCATGTACACAATAAAACCACAATAAGAAAGACCAAACTTTAGGAATAAGTTGTTATTAACACATGCTTCTAAACAGGAATTAGAAAACTAGGTTGGTAACAGATCTAGGGAATAAAAACACACACAAACTTCTACAAACCATTAAAGAATCAAAGCCAATAATGACAGGCCTGGTTGAGCCTCTAGGTAAGGGCTCACTTCTTCAAAAGCAGTGTATTAGAAAAGTTCTTTTTTCTTGGGAGGGATGGGGGTGGCGGCGTGAAAGTGATCAGGCAATAACAGTTCAGTTCTATGCATAACCAACTGAGGCAGGAACCAGCTGTCAAAAGGCTCCCAGCATCCAGGACCTAAAGCCCTCACTGCATAGCACAGATGCTGTGGGGCAGAAACTCCTGTATGTAGGTGGCAGCTGCCTTGGAGAGGTAGGTCATGGTTCCAAACCTGCCACTGGGTGCACTGTCATACAGAAGAGTACAGATGCCAGATGCAGGATCCTTTGCCAACATGATATCATCTGCGCCGAGGGTTTTCTGTTTGTTTTTTAAGGGTGAAAGAACACAGGGGAAAGGAGAAATTACTAATTCTACTAAATGAAGTCCTGATTTGTGTAATTCAGAGCATCCTTCCCAATGCCAATTAGTTGTTCCCTAGGCCATTTAACCAGGTAGAGACCAGGGTTATGCACAAAAAGGTTAATATTACTTTCTATACATGCATTTTTCATTAGATTCCCCAAATCATGCAGATCATTTAAAAATAATTTAGAATTTTCCCAATTGCAATAAGGTTTTGAAAGTTAAATACAATAGTTAAATGAGTCATACTTGTTAAATTCTAACAGTTATAAATCACCCTAGTAGGACTTTGACTCCTTCTAAGGTGGTGGTTCTCAACCTTCCTAATGCCGTGGACCTTTAATACAGTTCCTGTGGGTTGTGACAGGAACAGCAGGTTGAAAACCGCTGTTCTAAGGGCTATTGATTTCAATGTGTATTCTTTTATCTTGCATTTGAACATTCTTTCTTTCTAAGCCAACTTAATTAAAATACATCATGAACTTTCTGAAGTTAGGGTTCATGCGTAAAAGGAATCACATTTTCTGATACATGGATAGACAATGATACAGAATATTTACAGTTAGAACTGTCCTGGAAAATGCTGGACAATTTTCTTTTGCATCCCCTCACAGTGGCTAATAGAATGAAGTACCTACTACTATATATTTTAGAATTTTTCCTACCGATGATAGTACATGTTCTTTAGCGTATATGCTCCTACTCTTAAGTAGGCAACATTTGGAAAGATTTTCTTTATTTGAATATTAAATACCTTTATTTAGAGATTCTGGAAAATGAGTTACTTTTAACTGACATACAGGTTAATATGAGGATATTGATTGCTAGATATGCAGATTGATTAATAGAAATGAACTTGTTCTAGGATGTATGGGTGCCATGCATCCTGCTAGACTACTATGTTTCCTCCCATATGAAAACTCCCCCCTCATCTCTAATACTTTCATATTAAGTCCCTTTTATACCTCACTATGTTACATACACCAAAAACACCTAATACACTGACAGATGCTTCCTTTTGTGCCTAATTTTTGGAACTTTGTCTAGGCAACTAAATACTATGAAGAGTTTGCATTCTTACCAGCTCTATTGCAGTTTTTTCCTCCAACTGGTCTGTTACACTAGGATATCAACTTTGTGAGAATTACATGAAAAGATGAACATGAACATGAAGCAAGCATCTACTACACTGTCCTATCACCACCAGCATTGTCCTATGCTTTAACTCCTGTGGTAATGCATTGGACATGTGGTTGCTACAAGTTAGTAAGAATACAGCAGGTGCCAAAAAATGTGCACACATTTTAAGAAAGAAAAAATCTTGTGGTGGGTGCTTGTAGTCCCAGCTACTCAGGAGGCTGAGGCAAGAGAATCGCCTAAGCCCAAGAGCTGGATTGTTGCTGTGAGCTGTGATCCTATAGCACTCTACTGAGGGTGACAAAGTGAGACTCTGTCTCTACAAAAAAAAAAAAAAAAATCTCTACTGAAGGTGGCGCCTGTAGCTCAAGCGGCTAAGGTGCCAGCCACATACACCAGAGCTGGCAGGTTTGAATCTGGCACAGGCCTGCCAAGCAATGACAGCTACAACCAAAAAATACCCGGGTGTTGTGGTGGGTGCCTGTAGTCCCAGCTACTCGGGAGGGTGAGGCAAGAGAATTGCTTAAGCCCAGGAGTTGGAGGTTACTGTGAGCTGTGATGCCACAGCACTCTACCCAGGGCAGTAGCTTGAGGCTCTGTCTAAAAAAAAAAAACTCTACTGAAATTATAATATTCAAGATATACCAATAATGTAAGATGAATACAAAGCATGTTTGACTACTGCAGTGCTCAAGGTGCTCAAAGTGGTTACCATCAGCTTCCAGACACTTCTGATTATGGTAAACTACTGCTTGAGCAATGTTGACCAAAAGTGTCTACTTGAATCATTGTACATGCCATTTCAATTTCTTCCTGAAGTTCTGCCAGGGTAGCTAGATTTCTACAGTACACCACATTGTGTAAGGCCCGGGTACTGTAGTTGTTAAAGTCAAGGGGTATTAAAAGTCAGGAGAAGGTGGGGGAAACTCAACCACACGTCTTTGTCCTCTCCATTGGCTTTGCAAGTTCTCATGAAGGTGAGCTCTCATGTCTTGGTGGAGGTGCAGTGGGGTACCATCTTGTCGGAAGTAAAATGTATCATTCCCCAAAAGTGTATGAATTGCAGGTAAAATGGATGTGTGTAGCATGCCGAGGTACACTTGACTAGTAACAGTATCTTCAAAAAAGAATGGTCTAATCAGTACCAGGTTTAATCAGTGACAGTCCACACCAGACATTGAGGCCTGGTAAATTTGACTTCTTTATACACATGTGGATTTTCTGGAGCCAAATACACACAGTTCACTGTCCAATTCAATTTAAACTGTGTTGCATCAGACCAAACCATTTTCCCCACAAATTCCTCATTCACTTGTACCATGTTTTAGAACCACTCACAATGACTGCACCTGTGATCAGGGTCCTCTTCATTCAATGCATGTAATAATCCTGGGATGAAAACTGTCCATTTTGCAGTTTTAAGAATGCACTATATGCTTGTTATGCTAACTCCTGCCTCATGTGCATATTATTTGGTAGATTTTTGTGGTGAGTGTATAAACACCATAGTAGAAAAAGCAGGCTTGTTGCTGTGAGAGGCTTCCTAGATCTTCCCTTGTACACATCAAACAGAGTACCATGAGTCTCAAACGTATCATGAATGCACACAATTGTTAAGTGTGTTGGAGGTTCTGTTGTATACTCATGGCTCCATTGTTGTTGTACTTCCACAATGTTCTCGAATTTCAAATACCACTTCAAAATGGTTGTGTGCTCCTCAAATGACAACCGTGCCTCTGTTATTTTCTTTGACTTGCCTGTGGCATAGTGATGCCAGCTTTTGTTTGATTAACACCATCTTATGAGCAAATATCATACTATACATTGCTACTGTAATTCAGTTCAAATTTGAAATAATATCGCTTAAAACGTGTATGCATTTTTTGGCATCCCTAGTATTTGACCTTATTAGAGGCAATTTCCTATTGTAACTGTAGAGTGATAGTTGGTATAAGTCAGTTGAAATACCAGCACCAGAGCATCCCAGCTTCAGTGGCTTCTGCTTGTAATTTTCAACCTGTGCTTAGAACTGAGGCCACTGCACCTCCCTAGGTGCTGGAGACAGACACCTCATCTAAGGTCACCCAGCTTGGGCTGTTGCTGTAGCAGGCAGGTCTGCCAAAACCGTTATACAGGAGCAGTGAATAGGGCCACCCAACTGCATGGGACAAAGAGACCCAGAAACCTTTCAATAACTAGTTTGTATTTTTAAAATTCTTTATTAAATTGTAACTGTGTACATTAATGTATTTATGCGGTACAATGTGCTGATTTGATATATAATGTGGAATGTTTACATCTAACTGACAGTTTGTATTTTTGACTTTTTATTTCTTTTTTTGAGACAGAGTCTCCCTGTGTTACCCTCAGTAGAGTTCTGTGGCGTCACAGCTCATAGCAACCTCAAACCCTTGGGCTTAAGCGATTCTCTTGCCTCAGCCTCCCAAGTAGCTGAGACTACAGGTGCCCACCACAACGCCCAGCTATTTTTTATTTTTTGGGCCAGGACTGGGTTTGAACCTGCCACCTCCGGCATATGGGACTGGCACCTTACTCCTATGAGCCACAGGCTCCGCCCTAGTTTGTATTTTTGAATGTGGTTAATTTCTTGGAAGGATATTTTTTTAAAGTGAAGGATTCAACTACAACTCAGACTTTGGACTTTACCTTACAAATGCAAATAATGTAACCTAATCATATATATCCTCATATTAACCCATAATAAAATAAGAAAATAAGAAAAACATGGAAATAAAAGTTTCACTTTGATATTTTCCTGTAGGTAAGTAACAAAAGCAAAAATAAAGCAAAGGAAAAGAAAAACTAAATCCTCCATTTTCCTTAATAGTCTAGAAAGGATATGCTATCCTATAGTTTCTTATTAAGACCTATAATAATAAGCATTGCCATTAGGAATTTGAAGTATGATGCTAATGCTATGCTTCAGGGCTTTTCAGGGAAAAGTATAAAATTTCCTGAGTTTCAGGCAGCTTTACCATCTAATACAAATCACAAAACACATGACAAAAGGCAGGTCATTCTGTGGCCTACTTCCTTTGCAAACAAAGCTCATAGCCATAACATAGGCAGCCAAGAAGAGAGCTACAAGGAAGAGGGCACAAGAAAGTGACCTTGGCTCCCCAAAGAGCCCTGAATGCAGTCAGAGTAGAGTTAAAACATTTCTCCTTTGAGAAATCAACAGATTTACATACCTGTTCTTGAAGGAACAAGTCATTGGCAATATGTACTATTTTTTCCACAGCAATGATGCTTCCAATGCTATGAATTTCAATATCTGCCAGCATGGTGAGAACAAGGATGGCTTCAACCAGAAGCTGGCGGTACTCTGGTTGAGGTACACGATTCAGGACAGACTCCACATGAACAGAGAATTTAATCTCACCCGGAGTCATCTGTGATGGAGAAAAAGAAAATCATTTCCTGAGAGCCCATCATCCAGGAGACATTAATCACTTGTTCTGAAAGGCTATAAAAACACTGTAGTCTTGAGCACTGGCTTCAGTCCCCTTTAAATTGAGTAAACTGGTTTAATCATTTTAGAAGGAAATCCAATGATGTACAACAAAAGTCATAAAAGTGTCAATACCCTATAACCATAATCCTATTTCTGAGAGTTCATCCTAAGGAAGCAATTCACAAGGGGAAAAAAGCCCTATATGCAAAAATGTTTCCAGCAGCATTAGTCACAAGCATAAAACTAGAAGTAAACTAAACATGGGAATGGTTGTATAAATAATGCCCTATCATGGCATAGCAACTCCATGAGTTTTTATATAGCCATTTAAAAGAATAAAATGATGACTGTGAATAAATGAAAAATTTAAGCAAAACATAAAATTTTATGTACATGATGATTAGACTTATGTAAAACATTCATATACTTCTAGGTAAAAAATGGGCATTAAGAAATGTAAAGTTATTTTAGGGTGAAGAGGATTGAGGAATAAGTTTTTGTAAACTGGTATTAAGTATATCCTTTAAGGAGGCAACATAGATTTAGAATCTAAAGACCTGGGTTCAAGTCTTTCTCAGTTACTGTATAACCTTGGACGATTATTCTCTCTAAATTTGTTTCCTATCTGTAAATTAGCCATGGCAATCCTCCCTCCCCTCTTACTTTTTTTTTTTAACCTATCGCACATAGTTGTACTGAAAATCAAATGAAATAATGTCAAAGTAATTTGAAGATTCTTAAAGGTACTATTCCAGTATGCACTATTATTAATTTTATAAAATTTCAATCTTGCTTAAAGGAAGAAAAATTACAAATAAGGGACATAGTATTCTTTATTAGAGAAAAGGCCTTTAGGATAGAGTGAATCCCTGAAGCATATCATTAGATTTTTTCACTTGTTCCTCTAGCCACCATCTGAAACAATCGTAGTGTTTTTGAGAATTTTCTACTGCTCAATCTTACTACTCCTAGCTTTCTAATACTTGCTCCTTTGTTGATTCTGTATAAAATCTAGTTCTTTATCATTTCTGTGTAATTTGGACAAAAAGGAAAATATAAAAGCATATGATAATCTATGTTTGTGGGTTTTGATAGTGTTTTCCAATCATGGTTATGTATCAGAATCATTCTATAGATTGTTTTTAAAATACAGATGCTTAGATCCCAATCCAGGAAATTGTAATTCACTAAGTTGGAAATGGGATCCCAGGTTAGTTCAACATATAATTAGAGCTAACTACTACTGGTTTATGCTCTAGTGGTCTACAAGTGTCCTACTAGAGAAAGGTGGGAATGAGAAAATGGAAGAAGATGAGAAGTTGTTCATTTCCATCCTTTTTGCCCTCTCCAATTCTCACATAAACTAGCCTAACTTGATCAAACATTTAAAGAAGCTGGCTGTATATAATGAATCTATAATTATTCTCTAATGTTCCCAAGTTCTTTTTTTTTTTTTTTTTTTGAGACAAGGTCTTTCTGTATTACCCAGGTTGGTCTCGAACTCCTGAGCTAAAGTGATCCTCTTGCTTCAGCCAACTAAGTCAGCTGGGATTACAGATACATTCCTTTCAATTATTAAAAAAAATTCTCTTTTTTCTTAAAATGTATTTCATGTTTAGTTGATTTATAAAAGCATAGGTCTGTTACTTTTGATGGTTACCACAAGTTTGATACTTGTCCCTGTAGCCAAATGAAGAACAAGGATGTGCAATTTGAAAAACAGGAAAGAAAAGTTTATTAATTTGCCAGCAAATGAAGAGTATGACTGAAAGGACCATTTCCTATCTATAAATAGAAATACAGAGCTTTTAAAAAAATTCAGATTAATATGAGGGTACAAACAATTAGGTGACATTGTTTGAGTTTGTTAGGTAAAGTCCAAGTTCTAGTTGTACACTCTCCCCCAGGAGTGTGCCATATACCCTTACATTATGACCGTTAGGTGAGAATATAACAATCCTCCTCCCACCTCCTCTATTTTCCCTCCTCCTCCCTCCCCCTAATTGATTTTAATTGTGCTTTTCTCTTGTGTGAGAATGTATTTTTCCATTTACTGGTTTCATGTTAGTACTGAGTACATTGGATACTTGCTTTTCCATACTTGTGATACTTATACTAAGGAGTGTTGTCCAACTCCAACTAGGTTAATACAAAAGATTTAAAGTCTCCATCTTTTTTATGGCTGAATAGTATTCCATAGTATACATAGACCACAATTTATTAATCCACTCATGTGCTTGTGTTGATTCCACATATTTGTGATTGTGAACTGAGCTGCGAAACATCTAGTGAAAATGTCCTTATGGTAAAATCTTCTTATGGGTAGATGCCTAGTAATGGGACTGCAGGATCAAATGGAAGGTCTACTTTTAGTTCTTTGAATATTCTCCATACTTTTTTCCCAAAGAGGCTGTATTAGTTTGCCATACCACCAACATTGTAAAAGTGTTCCCTTTTCCCCACACCTTGCTAACATGTGCAGCACTGGGACTTTGTGATTTGGGTTATTCTCACTAGGATTAGGTGATATCTCAGGGTGGTTTTGATTTGCATTTCTCTGATGGTTAGGGATGATTTTTTCAGGTGTTTATTGTCTTCTTTGGAGAAGGTTCTGTTCCTAGCTCTCTCCCAGTCATAGATGGAATTGTTTGATTTTTTATTGTTGTTGTTGATTAATTTGAGTTCTCAAAATACAAAGCTTTTAGAGGGTGTTTTCAACTTCAGGCTATTTCTGTTTAAATATAGCATTTCTGGTGAAGATAATCTTTTGACCTTTGCAGGACAATTCCATTGAGCACTCACTTGTGGTACAAAGAACAAAGAATACTCCATTGCTCCTCTGATTACTGGCTTCAGACAAGCATGTCAGTTTTAATTTCCAAAAAGACGAAGGGAGTTTTGAAGAGACAGATTGTAAAACATTTTCACTCTTTTGCAGGCCTTTGCCTCTGTTAGATGATCACTGAAGTACTTTAGTCAGGCAAGTTATTAGTCACATAAATGTGAAAGCCACAGTATCTTACCTCTCTAGTGGTTGAAGAAGGAAGAACAAAACCTTCCACAGAAAGTCCATGGCACTGCAAAATAGAAGAAAAACAGAAGATGTTGTCACCAGGAATAGGGCAACAATTGGGAAGCTTCAAGAAGAGAGACACTTTGGATTTCTAAGCATGCTTCATGGAATATATGCTGAGTAATCACAGGTCATTGAGAGGCCCTGCAGCCCATATGCCCCTGCCATGGGGTCACGATTCCTAAGTGCCAAGAGGCAGGATTGGACTACAGGAGACCAAAGTTGATCCTCTACTTAGGGTAGTGTAATGGGTAGGGTAGTTCTATCTTCTGGGATAGGCTAGTCTCAAATAGTCAGAAACTATCTGGGAGGATGTCAAACTAGGTCCCAGAGACATTACAAATAGGCTTCCAGAAAGATTTTTAGGCTGCAGGAACAAACTTAAGACATGCATCTATCAGACATGTACCATTACCATATTTTCTAGTTAAGCATCCTATCCTCCTGTGAATACTCTCATATTGTCCTACTTTTCCATACATTTTTTTGGAGATCATAGTGTTTTATTGGCTTTTTTCCACTTATTATATGGTGAATATATTCCAAAGTTATTAATTATTCTTTTGAAATATGATTTTTAAATTTCAAAATATTAAGGGACATAAAAGGTTTTGTTACATGGATACACTCTATAATGCTGAAGTCTTTCAGTGTAACATTCCATATACTTTATTTATTTACTATGTTTATTATTTAGTGTTAGTTTCTCCTAGTAGAATATAAGTTAGAGCAGAGATTGTTGTCTGTTTTGCTCTTTGCTTTATAAGCATGTAACTCATGTATGAGCATGAGCCTGGTTGCACAGTAAATACTAAATGCATATTATATAAATGAATAATATATTATCTTGTCCCTATCAACTCAATTATTAAAAAGCAATAGGAATTAATGATGTGCCATTTTAGATTTAAAATAAAACATTATGTATTAAATAACCACATGTTAAGAGTATAATTCAATGTTTACTGACTCTATTAGATTTTTCCATCCCATGTTCCATATGCCAACTGTTTTCTTACAGAGTTACCAGTCCTCAAACGTAAGTACCAAGATTATGTTACATTAACACTCAGAAAGGAATGGAATGAAAAAACAGAAGGCATGTTTTACCCCTCAAGTTAGGATCCCAAGTCCAGGTTTTGATTCTGCCACAAAATATCCAATCTTCTCAGTCAGATTGAAATATTACTTCTTTGTATTCATACAGCCTTGTGGTTTTTTTCATTTCTTTTCTTTTGTTTGAGACAGAGTTGCACTCTATTGCCCAGTCTAGTGTACGAGGGTATCAGCCTAGCTTATAGCAACCTCACACTCCTGGGTTCAAGCAATTTCCTGCCTCAGCTTCCCAAGTAGCTGGGACTACAGGTATCTGCCACAATGCTCAGCTAATTTTTTTTTCTACTTTTAGTAGAGATGGGTCTTGCTCTTGCTCAGGCTGGTCTCAAACTCCTCAGCTCAAAGGATCCTCCTGCCTTGGCCTCCCAGAGGCTAGTATTTTAGACATGAGACACCGCACTCAGCCAACATACAGCCCTGTGGTTGTAAGGCAAAAATGTGTTATCAAAAAGATTCATATAGCCTTGTGGTTTTGAATATTTTTAATAACATTGTTTTGTCTTACATCACAGCTTCTTTTAAAGAAGATCATCTATAGATTAAAATATTAAGAGGTACAAATGTTTTTGGTTACATGGCTCTCTTTTGTAATGTTGAGTCATGGCTATAGGTATGCCATTCCCCAGATAATGTCATTGTTCATGTTAGATACTTTACATGACATATAGGGTAGAACAGTACCTAACTTGACTGACATAATCCATGTATAACTGGAAAGATAAAATACATATTTGTTACCATTATGTTATATTAGTTAGCTGGAAGCAAAGCTAGTTTTTCAGTACTCTTTGAAAGGAAGATTACCAGAGCTGACAGTCTTGAGTAATCAACTTTCACCTCTCCACAAGACCACCTGATTATGTCCCTGGAATAATGTTGGTATGCAGAGGGGAAAAATGTAACTAAAGGTTTTGAAGTTCTGCAGGTCCTTATCAAGGGCAATGAAGCAAAAAGGAGCACCTAAGAGACTATGAATGAGACCTATGAATGAGCACAATAGTTTTCTTAGTACACTTGAGCTTTCACCAACATAATGGTATGACAGGCTCTTAAATGTCTGTGGCCAAACAGGGTTCTGAAAGAAAAGCAATTATTAGTCATACTAAGAGAGTCTTTGAACTATTATCATCATCAACACTTTGCATTTACTTATTAGTTTTCATTTAGGAAAAATTATAGGTAAGAGCTCCTTACACAAACTCCCCCAGGTGCTGAATTTGTTTTACTATAGTGTATAGTGTTTTAGTATAGTATAGTATAGTGTACAATAGTGTATAGTGTATAGTGTTTTACTATACAATTTGTAGCAATATGCAATTTACAACCAAACATCAAGAGCTACAAAGTGAGCTCTTTAGCACCAAATTCATTTGATTAGCACTAAATGTATCACAGTGCCCCACAAAGTCTCATTATGGCAAAAAGCAGAGAAGTGACAATGAAAAAATTGACATTTAGAAACACCACCACAGCAACAATAATGGAAAGAGACTAAACTATCAATAATGTCACAATAACTATTCAACTATTTTATTTTTATGTTTTCTTCTTTTTAAAGTAAATACAAGTTTTATTATTTTTTTTCTGGTAGGCTCACTGAGCACTCTCATACTTGTTTATTGTTGTGCGTTTGTATGATTATCATGAACTTTACAAATTTTTATTTTGAAATAATTTGTACTCATTCATTCTCCAACCCACTAATTCTAGTTCAAGATTGCTAGAACTTGTCCACACAGCTCAAGTTGCAAGGTAGGAACTAGCCCTGGACAGGACACCATCCCAGTGCATGGTGTGCTCTTTGTCCTCACTCACTCACTCACTCACACTGGGACCGTGTAGACATGCCAGTGAGCCTAACAGACACAGCTTTATGATGTGGAAAGAAACCCACTCAGAGAACATGCCAACTCCAGACAATGGCCCCAGCTGGGGGGTGTGTGATTTATTTTTCCGTCAACACATCAACATTATAATAAAACAACATTAATTTGAGGACCTGGTGTATGTCTCTTACTCTTCATAGCAATCTGTTAGATATGTAAAATGGCATAATAACAGTACCCATCAAAAGAACTGTGCCTTTACAAGTTTTATTTTTATCTTTAAAAGTTTTTAATATATACTTACACATTTTGTATAATCATATAAAGAAAAATGAAAGGGAAATAAATTGGTTAAGGTACCACTAAAATGTTTTTCCAGAGTCTAAGTGAATCTTCTGAATCATTTTGTATTGAGTCATCAATGTCTAACATGTTTCTCTGTCATCAGAAATGTTGGTGATTCTCTTTGTAAAATTTCAAAATATTACAGGAGTACAAATGTTTTTGGTTACATGGATTGCTTTTGTAATGCTGGAGTCACAGCTGTACGTGTGCTCACCACCCAGATAATGTTCATTGTACCAGTTAGATATGTTTTCAGCCACCCCATACTTCTTCCTTCCCTTGTTTGATTTCCACTGAGTTTTACTTTCCTTTCTGTACACATGTGTGCTCACTGATCAATTCAAATTTGATAGAGAGTACATAAGGTATTTGTTTGGCCATTCTTTATATACTTAGGAAGATGGTTTCTAGTTACATCCAAATGGTTGCAAAAGGCATCAAGTCATCCTTTTTCATGGTTGAGTAGTGTTTCATGGTATACACATATCACATTTTGTTAATCTACTCATGAATTGTTTTTTATTTCAAACTAATACTATGGCATACATTTTTAGGTAAAATTGTTCTCATTTCCAAGTTCAAGTTGTAGTTGAGCCCTTAGGGGGTGAGCTGAACATCCTGAAGTTGTGCACATTAGGTGAGATCTTGCGAATTACCTTCCCCCACCCCGTCCCTCCTTTCCCCTCCCTCTTGCTAGACTAGATTTGTGTCTTATCATTCATGTGGGCATGCAATTATTTATATAGTGGTTTCATATTAGCATTGTATATATTGTATTATTTTTTTTCCATTCTTGAAATACTTTATTAAGAATATGTTTCAGCTCCATTCAGGTAAACAGAAAAGTTGTAATGTCTTCGTCTTTTCTTATGGCTGAATAGTACTCCATGGTATACATACACCACAGTTTGTTAACTCAGTCATGGGCTGATGGGCATTTGGGTTGTTCTACATCTTGGCAATTATGAATTGAGCTGAAATAAACATCCTGGTGCAAATGTCTTTGTGGTAAAATGCTTTTTGTTCTTCTAGGTAGATACCTAGTAATAGAGCCATGGGATCAAATACAAGGTTAACTTTTAGTTCTTTAAGAATTCTTGATTGACTCTAGGCTTAGCAGCAGAGGAGCTGTGGGAAAGATGCTTCCCCCCTTTAAGCTTTGGTTTCTCACTATTAAAGCAGGGATGATGAAGATTGCTTTTTAAAAACACATTATTGAGGGTGGAGCATGATGGCAGATGGGAAGAACATTTAGCTCAGCTCTCCTGGAACAATAGGTGAGAGTGAGTGGGCTAGATCATTCCCCAGTGTGGAATATTGGTTTAGAGTGGCAGTTTGGGGTGTGCAGCAAGGTGGAGGTTTGCTGGACTTGGAGTGTAATCCAGAGCTGTGGAGACTGACAGGAAAGGTTTTCTCCTGTGGCAGCAGCAGTGGCAACCAGCCCCATCATGGAGGATTGCAGTTCCCAGTTCATGGGGAAACTAGGTATTCTGTGGAAAGATTGGTGAAGTGTGGCCTCCCGAGTGGAATTAGGTGGCCAGAGATGGTACGATCCTGGGAAATATCCCGGATAGAAAGAGGCCATTGTTTTGGAATTTGGGAGATGGTGGTCACTGCAGGCATGTTTCTGCATGGGCCGGGCACAGCGATTTGAGTTTCACCTGCAGACAGTTGTCCTACACTAGGAACTGGCCCAGGATATCTCACACTTCACAGG